CAGGTTGTGGTGTAGGGCTGAAATGGGGAGGGGGAAAGAAAGTACAATAAATTCCTTTGAGGATGCTTGAGGAAAGTTTGTTGTCTCAACTTGTACAGAAAGGGTAACGAGGCAGGCTCATTGCTTTGTTCCTAATGGCGATGGGGCTGTGTACAGGGATGGAGAGAGGGTTTGGGATGGAGGGATCAGCAGTGGCTCATCCTTCCTGTTTGCAACACAAAGAGCCTTTTTCTTCCTCCTGGCTGGGCTCCAGGGAGGGAAGCAAACTCAATTAACATGATGGCTGGGAAAAGGCAGGCTAACTGGCATTTAGTACTGCAGCTTTTCAGAGGCGGTAATTCTTCAGCATGGTTCGTTATGAACTGCTGCGGCAGTGGTGGGCATCAGTCCAGCTCCAGTTAACCACGGGTCTGGGGGCCTCGGCTGGGAACAGCCAGGACTTTCTTGCCTTGGAGTGGACCACAGGAGAGGTGAGGATGTGTCTTTCCGCTAGACAGGCCCGCAGACAGCTTTGTCATCTGATGTTTCTTGGCAGAGTTGTGCCTCAGTTTCCCTTCTTACAAAAACAGGGGTCATGGATGGTTTGGATGTTAATGGCAGAGGGGTGTGAGAGGCTCAGCAGTGGTTTGGAGGGGATGAGATGGCTCCTGACATGAGCCAGGCTGCTCCAGGGAGTCACATCACCCCTGCCAGGGCAGGGTTGCAGCAGAGGTTGCAGCGAGGCACGTGAAGGTGATGTGCATCCTCTGCACTCCACAGGACTGACAGCCACGTGGGTGCCAGGAGCAGCGTGGCGGTGTTGGTGGAGACCTTCCCCTGGGTGACGACCTGCTGGGAAGGTGAAGGAGCAGGGTGGAGCGCTGTTGCAGCTTCGTCGCTTCCGGCACCTGAGCTGGCTGTTTGGAGTCAGCGTGAGGTCTGGGCATGGTGAAGGGCTGAGCCAGTAGATGTGCCCCTAGGCACTACCGCAGTACAGCTGGCATTAATAATCACCAGTAACACTAACTGCTAGCCTAGCTTTTTGCTGGTACAAGAGCCAGAAAGCCCTGAGATGAACCTAACCTACGCCGTCTGATGCTGGATTTTGGGGGATCTGGATTTTGGGGGATCTGGACTTTGGAGAAAAGCTGAATCCTTGACCTACCTACCACCACCTGGACAAAGCTTGGCATACAGGACCCAAGGCTCTGCTCTGGCTCCAAAATCTCCTATTTTCTGCTCATTTCTAGGCTTTGCTTGGCTCATTGCCCTGACCGACTATGCTGAAGCTGGTTGTTTTTTTCTCAAGCCATAAATTATTTTTTCCTCTTCTTGTATCCAAAAACGTTTTATGGGAGCCAGGGATACTCTGCACCCAGCTGGCTCCTGGTCTGAGGGCCTGATCCTTCACACGCACCCATGAGCCAGGGGCTGAGCCAGCCCATTGCTATCAGAGGAACTTCACACGTGCAGCCAGGAAAGGACTTATGTAAGTGCTGGTGGATTCCCTGGCTAATTGGGATCCTATGGGAAAAGCGGAGGGGGAAAAACCAGCAGGAAGGGAGTGAGTCTGCGTGTCACAGTGCAAACACAATGACTCAGGACATGCACACGTCCACCTAAGGGGCTCAATTAACAGCGTTTTTAATAATGATTATTACAGGAGTTGACTCAGCACTCGAAAACGCTTTGAAGTTGAAAAGTGCTGCACTTCACACCTGTTATTAAAATACGTTCCCACTTAGTGGACCCTGCAGTCAGCAGCTCCTCGCGTGCAGCGCCCTGGAGCTGAAGTTTTGCTCGGACAGACACCTGCCAGAGGGAGGGCCTCATGTTTATTATCTGCGCTGGATCAAACACCTCTACTTTGCAAGTTGCTGTTCCTCTTTCCTTCTGATGCGTTTTTAGGGCCTGCGGCAGACATTTGTAGGGCAAAGGGAGGTAGAGATCTAATTCTGCATTAATACCTTTGCTTCCAGACAGTGGAAATGTCTGGGGAAAGCTGACTGATGCTCTTTCCCCTCACTTGCTCTTTGAGGTGGTAAAAAGCATGAGGAAAGCAGACTTTCAAATATGAAGCCCTCAAGACCTCCCTGGCCTTGCTCTTTGCCACCCAGACCAGAAAAACAAGAGAATGGGCTCCAAGATGTACTGTATGGATCAAGCCATATGCTCAGCTTGAGGAGCAATATTGCTCCTGGTGAGTCCACTCCTAAGTCACTGCCCAAATCATGAGTCCGCATACATGTTGGGACCCTGGTGGTGCCCTGGCTCATCTACCCACACATGTTGGGCACACATGTGCCCATTTAGAGCACACGTAAACAAACGAACAACCCTTCACGCGCTGGAGTCCCACTACCAGCCCCAGCGGTTCCAGTTTCACTGGCTCTTTAATCCAGCTCTATCAATAATTTACTCCTCTCTTGCAATTCATCAAATATTTATCCTACCCATGAATTTCCCAGCCTGGACATGTCACTACGAGGGTAGAGGCGAGGGCTGGGGATTTGCTGCTCCTGGAAATTTGGAGTACTGAGCTGCCAGAGTGCTGGCAGCTCCCTCCTCTCCAAAAACTCCTCAATCCTGTGATCTCCTGCCCTTCTCCTCCCTAGGACCCATCTTTGAAGCCTTTCCATGCTTCTTTAGAAGCTCTGGATACAGAAGTCCTGAAGGGTTTGTGGGTGTTTTTGGCCCTTACACAGTTTTGAACCTTTTGACTAACTTGCTGAATTTGCCAGCAGGCTCAAGGTTGTACTTACTAAGTTTCTACAAATTCTGTGAAAATACAAGCATGGTGGAGCTGCTTGTATTTGCATGGATCAACTGCTGATGATCCCCCAAGGAGATCATCAGGTGCTACGTAGCACCTCGTAGCAGCTCTTGGGGGGATACAGCCAGGAGGCTCACCCTCTGGGTCCAGATAATCTCCAGCTTAACCTCTGGACACTGTCTTTGTTGCTTTGCCTTTTGCAGAGTCATTTTCCTTCAGTATTACACAGCTGAGATGTCAGCAAAGCCTGAGGACTACAAACTAGACATCCCACCGGCTGGGTGACTCTGCTCTGGCTCCGCTGCTCCCTGAACAGCAGCATCCAGAGCGGGCAGCAGGCAGCCTGCCTGCAGCATGGGAGGGCAAATGTGCTGGTCGAGGCTGTTGCTGGGTCATGTGAGTGGGTAGTGATGATGGAGATGTGAAGCTGGCAGGGGAAAGAAGTCTCTCAGCTCCTGTGATCTCCGTGATCTTTCTCTGAAGTAGTTTTCAGACTCTTTCAAGTGAGACAAGCGCTGAGCGCATGGGGTTTGGAAGCATGGAGCCCATGGTTCTGGGCTCTGTTGCTCCCAGCTCTTGCCAACACAGGTCCTAAAGCAGCAAGAAGTAAAGTAAGGTAGCGTGGGCTGAAGGTCTCAAGCATGCATTCACCTTCCAGACTTCTAGTGTCACGAAGGCTTGGAGCTGGAGTCCTCGTGGTGGGGGAACACTGCTCGGTTCCTCTGGAGCTCATTGAAAGGGTGATGTGAAAATGGGCAGGAGCTGTGCTGAGCCAGAGCTCTGCCAGAGCCCTGCTGCTCGCGGGGAGTTGCTCTTGAGGGTGGTGGAGCTGCCCAGCCTTAATAAAAGGCTTTGCCTTGTCCATGTGCACGAAGGGAGAGTGCCTTGTTGACAGATACTGCTGCTGCCTGCATATCATTAGCACACGCGCTCGGGCGAAGGCTGGTGCCAGCGGGGGTGTGAACTAGCTCTTGTTTCAGCAGATCACAAATACAGAGGAATGTCAGGAGGACAGGCTTCTGTTCAGACTTCCCTTCAGTCCTAGGTTTGTGTCCATCCCATCACAGGAGGCAGGAGATGCCGACAAGCGGTTGTGTCCCATCCACAGCTTGCTGGGGTAGGGTCCAGCACAACATGAGAAGAGATGCTAATGGCATTAGTCGAGTGTCCAGCTCTTGAGGAGTGCAGAAACTTAATCTCCACTTTCTCTGAAACTGGATTCTCAGGATGAGCTAATACCAATGGGCTTCAAGCCATGCAATCGAAACCAAGCGTGGTACCGCAAAAACCCCCACAAAACCCCAAACCTGAGGCCAGTGCCAGCAGCTTTGTTCTTATTCTCTACCGACGCCGTGCCCTCTCGTGCCCTGAATTCCCCCAGGCACCAGTGAGCAGGAGAGTGGGAAGGGGCAGCAGCTGGTGGGTTTCAGAACCAATGCTGAGGATGGCTGTTTTGTAGTGGTGCTACCATCATGATGGTGTTACCATCATGGTGGGACCCCGTGGTGATTCACACAGGATGTGGTGTATGGAGAGGTATTTTGGGATGTCTCTCCATGGAATCTCAACAAAGACAAGATTTGAAGATCGAATACGGCTAGCATTTAACGAGATGCTTGGGATTTGAAATTTTATAACAAGCTTAAGGGCTGAGCTAGAATCAGTTCCATATCTCAGTTCTGGGCTATTCAGAATCTGGCTGACCTCCCTCCAAAAATCAGTTTGATGCAGGCACATTGTCTCCTGTGAGCTACGTTCAGGTCACAGGAATAATCACAAACTTGCATGTCAGGCATGTGATTCCATGTCAGTGGTACACTCCTCCAGAAGACCCCCTTAAACTTAAGCTGTTGGGGCCAGAGGTGCGTAGCTTCATGTTTCAAGGAAGCAACGGATCCTGGTGCTGATTTGCCCCTGCACAACTGGGAATATCTCAGTAGAGTCTGTCAGCCATACCTGCATGCTAACCAGTACTAACCAGTTGTTTTCCTTGCTGTCTAGGGGTGATCCAGACAAATGTGACATCTGGGGGAACACCCCTCTCCACCTGGCAGCAGCCAACGGTCACCTGAACTGCCTTTCCTTCCTCATCTCTTTTGGGGCCAACATCTGGTGCCTGGACAATGACTACCACACTCCGCTGGACATGGCAGCCATGAAGGGACACATGGAATGTGTGCGTTACCTGGACTCTATTGCTGCCAAGCAGAGCAGCCTCAACCCCAAGCTGGTGAGCAAGCTGAAGGACAAGGCCTTTCGGGACACGGAACGGAGGATTAAGGACTGTGTGAAGCTGCAGAAGAAGCACCACGAAAGGATGGAGAAACGGTACAGAAAGGAGATGTCGGATAATTCGGATACCATGAGCTTCTCCAGCTATTCGAGTAGCACCTTAAGCAAAAAGTTCCAGCACATGTCTATGGTGACTTCCCTGCCATATTCCCAAGCCACCATCCATGGCACAGCCAAGGGAAAGACAAAAATACAAAAGAAGCTAGAGAAGAAGAAGCAGGTGGACGGGACATTCAAGATCTACGAGGATGGGAGGAAAAGCGTGCGGTCTCTATCTGGTCTGCAGCTGGGAAACGATGTCATGTTTGTCAAGCAGGGCACATACGCCAGCCCCAAGGAGTGGACTCGGCGTAATATCAGAGATATGTTTCTCACGGATGAAGACACTGTCTCCCGTGCCATAAGTGACCCAGGTTTGCACATGGACTCGGCCCACTCGGAAGTCAGCACCGACTCTGGCCACGACTCCTTGTTCAACCGCCCTGGGCTGGGCACCATGGTGTTCCGGCGCAACTACGTCAGCAGTGGGCTTTTTGGGATCGGCCGGGAGGAGGCTGGTACGCTGGGTGAAGACACCACAGATGGGGTAGGTGTCAAACTGCGGAGCCGCCTGCAGCGCTCGCCAAGTCTCAACGATAGCATTGGCAGTGCCAACAGCCTGCAGGAGAGGAACGCAGAGGAGCTACCCTGGGATGAGGTGGAGCTGGGTTTAGATGATGATGATGAACCAGACACCAGCCCCTTGGAGACTTTTCTGGCTTCCCTGCACATGTTTGAGTTCATCTCCATCTTGAAGAAGGAGAAGATTGACCTGGAGGCCCTCATGCTATGTTCAGACAATGACCTGAAGAGCATCAATATCCCATTGGGACCCAGGAAAAAGATTGTGGATGCCATCCAGAGGAGACGACAAACTCTGGAGAAGCCAGATGTCATTGTAGACACTGAACTGTAAGTAGGAGATTGGGCCTTTGAGCAATTAAACCCTTCAGCAGGTGGAGATGTGGATAATGTAAGGTCGTGTTTTCAACCCACATGGAAGAGTAGGAGTCCAGGTAACCTCAGTGCTTCTGTGTGTGGGCAAATTCCTGCTAGTATGGAAACGATGAGAGTTCGGAGAGGTGGCAATAGCGTTAGTTCATTACTCAACAGCCCTAACATGGCTGGGCAGGACGAGAAGCCTTTGTTTTGTTTCATAACCCATATGAATGCAGACTGCGCTGTGGTCTGACTCTTCTGAGTCCCTGTAGCTGAGATTCTCAGCCACACTCAGGCTTGTCTTGACTCTTCACCTTTTGAAGGCGTTAGGAAACCAACCGCAATTCCCAGTGGGAGCGGGCTGATGGCAGTGCCCAGCGGCATTGGGAATCCTTCCCCAGATGCTTGCAATCTTACTCAGAGCTTTGGAGTTTGCATATCTGTGTTGGAGTTGTTGCTGTTTTGTGGTGTTTCCAGGGTTTGGTTGGTTCGGTTCCAAGGACCGTGTCCCTGCCATGGAGGTGAAGGAAGGCATCCGTGTGGGTCTCTGCACTGTCACATCCACTGACACCCTAATCCACTGTGGTGTTCGGGCTTCCCAGCCTTCAAATACCTGTGTTTTCTTGCTGGTTTTATGGGCTTTCAGTACAGCTCGGTCTTGGACCCCCAGCGTGCCGATAGATTTTTCTCTTACCCTTTGCAGATAGCAGCAGCAGCATTTTTTATTTTTTTTTTATTTTGAATGAACAAGAAACAAACCCAGTTCTAAGTTGCCAGAAAACACAAGCCAGAGACTCTCTTCCTGGGGCAGCTGAAAGCTACAGCCATCCCCACCAGTCCCTCTGGACTGCCCTCCTGCTCCCTCGCTCTGCTCCCTGTCTGTGCGATGCTCCCAGGCGGTACCTGGTACGGAGAGATGACTGCTGAGGTGGCATCAGGCAGCTCCAACCTGCCAGCCTCGGAGGGACAACGATCGCCTGCTCGCTGGAGGAACAAGTGTGTTGCACAGCCAGTTGGGATGCTGTGCCGTCATGGGCTGAGCGACCACACGAAGCCATGAATGGAAGTAGTTATACGATGGTATTTTCAAAAAGATGCAAAATAAATAATTACACCCATTCTTTCTTGAGCAAGTGGTTGATTTGGGGTTTGGGCTGGAGCAGCGGAGGAGTGAGGAGTCCTGGTGTCTCTCCTGGTTCTGGTACACTGTTTGATGCTGTGTTTTCGGTAGGGAGTTTTGGTTATTGTGGTTTGGGGCTGTTCAGTTTGAGATGTGCCAGCCCTGACTTCAGCCAGCAGGAGCTCAGCACATCCACGAGTCTGGTCTTGAGTGCAACAATGCAAAATGAAGATGGTGGTTTGAATGTGTTGGTAGTTGCCTTCCAGCAGTTGAATGGCTGTCACAAGAAGGCAGCGTTTCTGCCCTATCTCTCCAGGGTGCTGAGCTGCATAAGTGATTTGTGGTCAAAGGACCTTGACTTTCACCTCCAGGAGCTCCCCAGGACCTAGCACAGCACCAGACTGCAGCACAGAGCCTCTTCCAAACATCCCTGCATCAGCGCTCAAAACACAGCTCTGAATCGTAGTGTTGGGTGTTTCGCACAGACCATCCATCTCTCGCTGATGGTTGCACCCACTGTCCGAGCCCTCAGCTCCCAGCTCCACTGCACCATTTTACATACATGGTCTATGGGCAGCTCCTGGGTGGCAGGAGCAGTGAGATGGAGACCTGGGCAGTGACATACCCTAATGGGAGAGAGTCAACAGCCCCTCGCCACGGGGTGCTGGCAACATGTCTATTCAGGCTGTGATGCAAACTACCAGATCAGAGAAATGCCACATGGTGCCACCAGTATGGCTTATCCAGCCTTATCTCAAGGATGCAAATGATAAGGAATGACCCCGAACATGGTGCCTCCTGGCAGTCTGTATGTGCTCACCCAGGTTTGGCTGGGATCTGGACCACATTTGTCCCTTTGGAGCTCTGGAGGTTGTGGTTTTTCTGTTTGGAGGGTGGGGATTTGTTTGATGTGAAGCCATGCTGTTCCCTGCCTGGTTGTGCCCTGTGTGTCTGTGTGTAGGGGAGAAGAAACACTCTTTGCAAGCAAGAAATACTCTTTGCAAGGTGGCTCTGTCCTACTGCTCCTCAAGAGGCTGAATTCCCACCGGGAGCAGTGTGGGATCTCTAGTCCCAGCTTCGTGCTGCTGCACACAGAGGTGCTCCGGCATCAGCTAAACAACACCACGGCACCAAAGGTCTAAGATCGTTCTGCATGGATGCAAACTGAGAAGGAGCTTTTTAAAGGATTTTTTAGAGCTAAAAGTGTTTCTATGTTTGAATTTACAAGTTCTGTGTAACTCTCGGCTTGCTTTCCAGGCAAAAGGGTGAGTGATCAGATGTGCTGAGTTGGCAAGTTCTCTGTGAAGGCGCGGAGGCCCCAGCACTGTTTTTGTTGGTCCCTCTCCAAAGCCCGGGGCTGCCATCCCAGCAGGAAAGCAGCGGCCGGGCTCGCCAATGTCACAGCTCCCTCTGCCGGGACCGGGCCTGGGAGTGCAGGATGGGACTGGTGGGCTGCGGGGCAGCAGGGATGCGGCACAGCGCAGGGCCGGCTGCGAGCATCACCGGTAACTCAAGGCCGGTTTCCAGGTGAGGTTGTGATGGCTGAATTCGCTCCCTGCCCCGTGCACGTGTGTGATTCCATCCAGCCCCTCTGCCCTTGCTCTGGGTAACTGGCAGAGTGCCGGCTGCCCACCGCAAACCGGCTCCAGTTCCCCCGGGGGTGAATCGTGTGTTTGGGTTTGTGCCAGACACAGGCGGGGAGCGATTCACCCTGGTTCGCCTCGCTGTCACTCCAGTGCAACGGGGACCGGTTTACCCAGTGGATGACGAGGAGAAGCAGATCTATCGTCTTCGCACCTACCGGAGCCTTTTGCGGGGCACCGGGATACGATGGGTATGTGGGGGGTCTGGAGCAGCTAGGGTTTGCACACTCCCTGGCTTTGCCTTTTTGCTTAGGAGCACCCAAGCAGTTGCTGATGTTGGGCTGATGCTGACAGAGATCCCCCTTCCCAACTTGTCTTTCCTCCAAAGAGCCGGTGAAAAGGCAACATGATGATACCCAGGTGCCATGGGACAAGTCCCCGTGCAGCTAACGCCAAGCCTAGAAATTCCACTTGGGATTGCTGAGCCCTGAGACCAACGTGGTCACTGCCAGGACTGCAGGGAGAGACCAAAACAGCCGTGGCACCAACACAGCGTTGCAGAGCCCAGGAGATGGGTTCAGGCCCACGGCTC